GAGAGAGAGAGAGGTTGGAGAGGGATAAGGGTGAGAGAAATGAGGGAAAAGGGTTTGGGATGTGGAGGGAATGTCTACAAAGAAACCATTTATCTTTTATATGTAAAAGTCACAATTGTTTTTGTCCCTTAAATTTTAAAATGAGTGGTTGTAAGAGTGTTATTGAATAGACATAAAGTTTCAAAAAAAATAATTATTGGGCTTTGTAATTCACTTTAAGTCATCCAATTTGATATCTAATGAGTGAGAATGATTGTGACGTCTACGGACAAAAGATAAAAGAATATATATATATAAAACTCATGGAATAGTACAAGTTCAACGGCCCAAATTGAATATGGGTCGATCTGATGAACACGGATGTTTGGTATTATTTGAAATTTTTTTTTTTTACAAATCTAAATCACTTGAAATTTTAAACGTGTGTTTTTTTCATCGAGCTGTACTTAATAAAAATATATATAAAAAATAATTCGTAAAAACAATTGATCAAAATACTTTTGAAACATTTCGGAGGTATTTTGATCAATTTATTTCATGTAAAATATTTTTTTTGATTTTTTTGAATATTCACCTATTTTTTATGTAAGCATGCTCCAAATTTTAAGTGATTTGAATTTATAGAAAAAAAAATTAAAATTAAAATACTATCGAACATTCGTGATCGTCAGATCAGTTTAGATTGAATCTGGGCTATTGAACTCATTTTTTCCTGTGAGCTAGTGGGCTCACCATAGCATCTTCTTATATATATATATGAAAAATGTTGAGATTAGTCCACTAGCTCATATGAACATATGAGCTCAATGGTTTAGATTGAATTTGAGCTGATCTGAAGGTCATGAATTTATTTCGTGTTTGAATTTTAATTTTTTTTCTACAAATCCAAATGATTTGAAATTTTAGGTATCAATTTTTCTCACTAAATAAAAATAATTCGAAAAAAATAAATTGACTAAAATACTATCGAAACTTTTTAAGGGTATTTTGGTCAATTTATTTATCACAAATTATTTTTTTTATATTTTTATTAGATTTTTTCATTTTTGAAGAACACATGTCTAAAATTTCAAGTTATTTGAATTTGTAGAAAATATATTAAAATTAAAATACAAAATGAAGTTGTGACTGTCAAATTAGTTCAGATTCAATTTAGGCCATTGGGCTCATATATTCATATGAGTTAGTGGGCTAATATCAGTATTTTTTTATATATATAGATAAGGCCCTAAACTATCAAATTAAGGTGCGACTTAAAAGTTAATTAGAAGAGGTTATTTTGATACCCAAAAATCCTCAAATCGATTTTCTCGACCTCAAGATGTATGAACATGAGAAAAAATAGATTTCAAATTTTGGAAATAGTGCATCTTGTAATGCATTATTTGAAATGTCAATTTTCAAAATTATCAAGTATTCATAGATCTGTTCGATTTGTACTATTTTTGAAGTTTTCAATTTTTTAATTAAACATAAAAATGAATTTTCAAGCCATCACAAAAATCTTTACTATTGAAATAACATCTTTTGAACACTATTTCAAGGTGCGCCTTTGATTGTTTCGGGCATTCGCTAGACAAACCACACCCAAAGATAAATGGCAGACCATCCCTGATGTAAAAGTGGGTAGAAAGAGAAATGGTTGAAATGGGATAATAATTTTTGTTTAGGTCAGTTATAAGGGGTTAAAATACATAAAAAAAAATGGGAAAGAAAATAGGAGTAGAGGTGAAAAGAGATTTTGGAAAATTTTAATGCGGCCTGGTATTTTAAAGATTGGAAGAGATATTATGGAGTGGATCTAAATTTTAAGTGTAAAGAGACTTTTTTAAAAAAAATAGTAAAATCATTCAAGAAAATATAGTACGCATGTACTTTTCGAACATGTTTTCTCACTTTCACCGCCGTATGACATTTTTATTACCCAAACAAATCAAAGGGGCACATTTTTGCTTTCCAAACTTGGATATCTCTCTTGTGTACCACATTGCCGGTTCGTACAATCCTCCAAATACTAATAAAGATCAGGTCCGTGCAGGCCAAAATTGCACCCAAATAAAATTATCTACTACTACAAGATAATTTATTTTTGTTACAAGAGGTCACAAGTACTCTAGATGTCAAATTGAAAAACTCGAGACACGTTACGAAATTGAAATTTTTTTTTGAATTTTAAAACTTGTCGATAACTTTTATAATTCCAATTTCAAATCTAAGTACAATAATGAAAGTAAGATCCTTGTACCAAAATGTATTGAAGCTATTTTGGTGAGAGAAAACAAAAGCAAACATATGTTATGTAAGATCTACCGTTGATATGTCAATTTTTGTTTCCAAGATGAACGTTGGAGATATTTAACAAAGTGCATTGTCTATCAGATTGGGTGGCTATAAGAGCATCATTGACTAGCCTTAAAATCATGTAAAAAAATTTTGCCATCCAATTTGACAAATAGGAGTAATGTCAGCACACAAGCCCTTTTCGAGACGAAGCCCTTTTGAGACAGGTCATTTATTGGAAAAAATTTTAAATATTTTTTTAAGTAATTCAGTGGAATGACTAGCCGTATTTTTAAATCGTTAAGTGATTTTTTAAAGCGTTAGATGCCAGGACTTTAACAGGGGCACGAAGGGTCATTTTTCATTGTTTATACATTATAGTATATTTACAAATGAGAGGTGAAGTTACAGGCAGACCTATTCTCTTCTTGACTAAAAAATTTAGAGAGAGAGAGAGAGAGAGAGAGATTTTGGAATGGAAGGGAAGTTGGAGTTTGGGAGCAGTGATGTCAGCTTGTGGAAGCAGGCGCTGTCTTCTTACCCGACGCGATTGCAGGCGGTGAAGAAAGCAGAGATCGTGGAGCTGGACTCCTTTTATACCAAACAACTCCCCACCCTTCTCCACCAAAGAGACCCCAATCCTCACATCACCAAGTCCGAGCTCTCTAAGCTCATGCAATGGAAGCTCACCAGAGGAAAATGGCGGTAGGCTCATCTCTATCTCTCTCTAAGACTCTCTGTCTCTCTGAAATTAGAAAAGTTCGCTTCCTGTGGACGACTCTGTCTCGCTGGAACTAGAAAAACGGGTTTCCTGTGTAATCTCTCTCTCTCTAAAAAGTGAGTTTCCTATGTACTGTATCTCTCCTTCTGAAATTGGAAAAATGGGTTTCCAGTGGACTATCTCTGCATCTAGAAAAATGGGTTTCCCAGCTCTCTCTAAAGTGAGAATCCTTGTACTGTTTCTATCCATCTGAAATTACAAAAGGGTAATGGGTTTCCCATTGACCATCTATGCCACTAGAAAAATGTGCTCTCTCTCGCCAATAAAAATAAAAAGAAAGGATTTTGATGTCTGTTAGATTTCAAATCGTTAGATTTCAAATCAGATAGCTGTGAGTGTGTCTTTGATTGAACTCGAAGTTAAATAGAATTTCTGAAACATCTACTACCAGGAGCAATCGTGATGTTCTTGTAATAAAAATATAGTTTTTTTGGGGTCACATTTTTCTTCTCTATAGGCAATAGTAAAGGTGGTTTTGAGCTATTTTTCGTTGTTTTGAAGGCCTCGGCTTATGAGTTTTGTTTCTTCATTGGATGAGGAGCAAGTGAAGTATGCTTCTGAGAAGGCATTTGGTAGTCTTCCTGATTTGAGTGAGGCTGTCTCTGCTTTGACCACACTCAAAGGGGTGGGCCCTGCAACCGCATCTGCTATCCTCGCCTCCTATGCACCCCACATTGCACCTTTCATGTCTGATGAGGTAACTTACCAACTGCTGTCTCTCTCTCTCTCTGACACACACATAGAGACTGGGAATTTCCTCTATTTTACCCTCTTTGATAAGTAAGAATTTTATCTAAAATGAGTTCCTGCTGTTCTGCTGATATTGAGACAAGTACCTTGTTAGGCCATGCTGGCAGCTCTAGGCAATGCCAAGGAGTATACACTCAAGCAGTATCTTTCATTTGCAGAGAAACTCCAAGCTAAAGCAAAGGTTGGTGTTTTGTATGTGTATGTGTTTTGTTTCTTTTTTTGGGTTTAGAAACTTCCTTAGTTTTAGATTTGTAGAAGCTATAATTGTCATGTGATCACATGTATAACATCAATGTATAACATTTAATTTTATGAAGGAAATGGTATGTAGTCTTTGGTCATTGTCTCATTTATTCTATCATCATTCCAAATCATTCTAACTATAGAGCAGATGATAGATGCCAGGAATTGCATTCGAGAGATGTTTCAGTGTGTGCCCTAACTATAGAGCAGATGATAGATGCCAGGAATTGCATTAGAGAGATGTTTCAGTGTGTGCCCTATTTCCCTTAAAAAACGTTTGATGTGTCCTTTCATCATCATCATCATCATCATCATCAAAGTCTTTTCCCAACTAATTGGTTCCTAGCCCATCATGCTGTTTTATCAAAGGTCATATCCCTAGACTATAAATCTCCATTTTTTTTTGTTATATCTAATCATGTCCTTTTGGGCCTACCCCATGCTTTTTTTGAGCTTTCTACTTGAACTAACTCGTACCTCCTAACAGGTTTTGTACTAAGTCTGTGCCACACATCACCAGCCTTTGATGTCTTTTGCTTATGCCAAATGCTATTCTCGTTTTTAGGAATTAAGCATAGGAGGAGTGGTTTTCACACCATCAGACGTCGAGAGAGCCTTGTGGGCCACAGAAATCAGTTTGAAAATTCCAGCCTCCACAGTGAAGAACTCATCTCCAGAAAGGAAGAAAAAACGCCAAAGAAAATCTCAATGATCTTCATCATCACTAAATTTACAGATAGCATCAGTTTTGTAAACTGGGTACTAAGTATCTTGTAATTTTTAACATATAGCATATACCAAAGTTTTCTATGTAATTGGCCACTTTCTTGGCTGATTACCCACTGACATGCAATCTTTTAAGGGATCCATTCTGGTAAGATATGGTTGTGTTAGGTAATGATGCTTCAAGTGTTTATTTTGTTGTTCATAGCAGAGAAGAAGAGCAAACATAATGTAAAAAGATTACAGTATGCTAAAGTCCAGGAAAAAGAAAAAAAGTACAGTCTGCCTCAATTTGCAAAGGATGATGATAAATGGCATGTATATTTTTATTGTCAATCCAAATGAATACAAACAGGCTCGAGAAAGCTGCATCACAAATTCGCTTTCAGCTAATCAATGACACGAATATACAAGAACTTTTCTCTTTATGTTCTTGAACTAATGGACTCACAATGCAGAAGATGCCATATCTTCCTCATCCATGTATAGAAGTCCTGAACGCCTATAATGGCATACATAACCTTTGCTGATTTTCAGCACAACTCAATCAAGAAAAAAAACAAAACAAATTCAACAGAAATGAAATGGAATAAATTCAACAGAACATTGAATGGAGTTGTTCACGTTACAACTTGCCCTGGCTAGGAGACCTCTCTTGCTGGTTTTCTGATGAAGGTCTTTGGCATATGGGTCCTATGTAAATTTGGCTCCTTAGGATTTGATGAGGGTGTTCTTCTGCATGGTAACAACCAGAAAATATGAAACAAAAATAAGCGTTTTTCCATTGATCCCTCTGTCCATTCTATAAAATAGAAAGTAAACAGTTAATTTTTTATTATAGGTTGGAATATAAATATTTGATTATCAAAAGGAGTAAAAGGAAATAGTCTAAACAACTGCTATGAATTCTTGATATGAGGGAAGAAAGAAACCTTTGAGGCTTGACTGGTTGTGGTGAACGAAGAAGCTTAACAGCCTGTTTCTGTTTAGTTTCAGATACTTCATCTTTGTTTCCATCCGACTGCATATGAAGACTGTTACAGGTTAGTTTGAGAGCGAGAGTCAAAATGTTTGAATCAATCTATGAGTATTCAACCATTTTATACCAATCTCTGTAACTACAGCTTATGGGAATTTGTGTTTTAAAATTCCAATAATCCTTGATTCACCTACGAAGAGCTCTAGTAAATACTCTTCAAATGTAAGCCCTTAAGAATCCACATAATTATTTGCCATTTTGCTCATTTTCATTCAGAAAACCACTCACATGTAATACATGTGAGTGCAATTATTACATGTGGCACAACTCACATATAATACATGTGAGTGCAATTCCCAAGCCATCCAAGAAGCAAGACCAAGAAAGGAAATAAATACATAAGTGAATATCATTTAGATTTGAACTTCTGCATAGTGCTATATATATAACACATACATGCACACAATTGACGTACTTGTGAATTTCTACCATGCTTCAATCATGGTTCATCACCATTCAAAAACCATCATACTGTCGTGATTATCTGATAATATTTGAATTTTAATATTTTTTCTACAAGCTTATTTGAAATTTGAGGCGTGACATCTAACCATCTCTCACAAAAATAAAATATAGACAATATCCAAAATTTTAATAATACTAATACCCCTGAAATATTCAGAGGTAAATTGGTCATTTGTATTATTTGAATTATTTTTTTAGTATCTTATATAGGTGCACCTCACTGAGGCACACACTCCCACAAAATTTGCAGTTAATCTGATTTCTTAGAAAACAAAATAAAATTCACTTTATTTTATCAGAAATATTTTTCTTTTATTTTTGTTGGCTGTGCCTCCACAAGGCATGGGCATTCGCCAAATTCCATGCACGGTTGGTTTGGGTAGGTAATGCTACAACGTCAAAATCAATAGTGTCAATCCCACAAGCCCCAAGTTAACATTGCAGAAAAGAAAAAAAAAGAATATATCACTGCAAATATATATCACTGCAAGTATATTACGCATCAGGAGAAAAGCTCAATACTCATAACTTGGTATGATAAAGTCAAACCTACTATGGATCAGGAGATAAGCTCAATACTCAACTTTGTATAATAAACTCAAACCTTATATGGATAGCATACCTTTTTCCTGCGAATGGGAGTGTTTAGAGCCATTTTGTTCTCTGTGCATTTTTCTGATCCATAGCATTGGGTGGATCCCAGTCTCTCCTGCGAAATAATTATAGTCAGTTCAATATATCTCAAAAAGCATACGATATGGGTTACAAAGCAATCCCCCCCAAAAAAAAAGATCGTCTTATTCATAGGTCTAACCTTGTGAACTCTTGGTTCTGTCTTAGTTTGATTGTCTCCGAGGTTACTGTTGTCACTTCTGCATGGTCCATGTTGCTGATGATTCTTATCATCTCTCTGCATTTGTTGCTTTTATGACTCAGACACCATTAAAGACCGTTGAGTTTCAAATCTCTCTCTCTTAAATTATGAATGCCTATACTAAACTTACGTGAACTTCATGTTTCTTTCCTTCCTGTGAGTTTGTTTCTTTCAATGTGGCAAGGAGATGCAGCCTTCTCTCCTGGTTAGCTTCCTTTAAAATTCCTCTTTCCTGAAGGTCACAGTGGCCAGATTAATCATCAAAACCTGAAAGCCACTCGAGATAAATACTTAATATTTAGCAATCTTGGGGGACTCACATCAGTTCTCAGCCGGAAAGGCTTTGGATTCGTGGGCTTTGGTTTCTTATACTTTGCTCCATAAACAGTGGCTAGATTTCCTGAAGAAGCTTTGACCTGTAGGCAGTTCGCCATCTGCAACTCAAGCAAAATGAAAAATCTTCAGACGATGCAACTGTATAGTAAACCTGAAATTGCGTACGAAGTAACATAAAATTTATACGCTATCCCCCCTTCCCCCCACCCCCCAAAAAAAAAAAAGAACTGGACAGTTACCTTTTGGGTGTTTCCACAGTCAGCCTGAATTCCCATTTTTTCCTCGGAACAAAATGTATATGAGTTAAGCTTGTTACTGTATAATCATGAAATCATCATTAGAAAGATATATTACATGCATAAGAGGTTAACTATATAAAGGAAATTGATGTCAAAACAGCCATTACACACGAGTGCTAGCATGATCATGGCACTTTGTACCTGTTATTTGCTGAGTCTGAAGTGTTTTCTTTATCGTCATTCTCCTTTTCTGAATCTAAGGCAGAATTTCCAGAAGATTGTTTTGCTGTCTTCTCTTTGGGAAAGCGATTGGGATTCTCTCTCACTTGGGAATCATCCAAGGGAATGAGAGGTTTATTAGTGATATGAGAGTGACTTTCTCTCACTTGGTTGTTATCCATGGGAGCAAGAGTGTTGTTTTCAGAGATTTGAATAGGATTTTTTGTCACTTGAGTATCATCAGAAGGAACATGATGCTTGTCATTCAGGCTCAGATCACTTCCAACGTGGCAATCACTGATGTTATTTTCCTTCAGATTATGAGCATCTGGTTCCCCAAGGCGTTCAGCATTTTTGTTGACACTATTGGGGGAAGTCATCTTCTCATCAGTTATGCTAGACTCCAGCAGGTAACTATTGGAACCCAAAACTGTTGAACCAATGGGCAACACATCTTTTAACACAACTTGAAGCAATTCACTTAGGGATGATGGCTCTGAATCTTCAGCTATTGGCCCAAGGTTTTCTTTATGGGGTTCTGACTCTGTTTCTGGAATGGATGCACTCCTTCCTTCTTTTTCAGTTTCTTGGTCCTCTTCATGCCTATTTAATTCCCCTTCTCTTGAAGCGATACTTGAAGAGGAAGCCTCTTCCATTGAACCTTTTCTCGAGTTTCCATCAATCTCCATGTCACTACTATATCCATTCCCTCCTTCACCAACCTGCTCTATATGGTCTTCTTTTGTTGCATTCTTATTATCTTTCTGATAAGGTTTTCTTTCATTGATAGGTGAAAGAGATTTCATATCCAAATATCTGTTGCATTTTTGCAGGCTTCTCGGAACCTTTTTCTTTGTTAGGCGTAAAGATGCTCCAGGTTCTTTGCAAGTACTTAGAAGCGATTTTACTGGAACTGGGGTAGGTCTAGAATAGTAAGCATCATTGGATGCACATCTAGACGATTTACAGAAATGGCCCGAAACATTCTTTGCTCCACTGCTTATCTCAAGCTTCTTCATCTCAGTTTCTATGGGGGTAACATCCTTCAATGAGTGTCTCTTCTTAATTGGCTTCCTTGGAGAGGGAAACACCAGAACCTTAGCCACTTTTCCAGTCTTAACCGTATTGATCCCTGTTCCTTTTCGAGTCTGAGCACTATGAAAAGGTTGGGGTTCGGCAGAGGACTTCTTGTATCGGGGAGTTGTCAAAGCCTTGCTTTTTGTGTGATCATGCCTTGGATTTTTTTTAATATCTGGAGTTGAGCAGTTGTTTGAAACCAAGTCTAGTTTCGTGGCGGTTTCATGTTTGGAGCTTTCACTCTCGAGTATTCGAGGAAACAGTCTGGATTTACTCTTTCCTGGTGTTCGGTCCTTTACTGATTTTGCAGGGGCAGAAAGAGGAGACTTCACACTGGAAGACAGATGGACACTCCAACCGATAAGATAACAGGGGAAGAACTATGTTTTGAAATGAGAATTTTCTGATTGAGCACTGTTATAACAAGTTCCATAATGAAATTCGGTCTAATTCTGAAATTTGATAACAAATTTCAGGTCAATATTGGAAAAAAGAACCCAAAATGTGGAACTTTAACCAATAACATGGATAGACACTCCTACCAATAAGATAACAGAGGAAGAACCATCCTTTCGAAGAATTAGATAATTTTCCAGTTGGGTTTTTGTAGGGAGCTTCATAATGAAATTCTGGCTCATTCTGAAATTTGATAAAAATTTCAAGCCCCCATTGACAACAACAAAACAGAAAACCCAAATTATGGAATTTCAATCAAGGTTTGAGTTAAATTTTGGATTAAAAGGACCAAAGTTTGTTCCAACAAAATGGAATCAGACTTTTGAATCAAGCATAACTATTTTGTAGCACTGTTCAGTCCGTCCAATAAATGAACTGAATTTGGGGAGCACTCAGTAAATATGTCAGAAAAGAAAAGTAGTTTCAGTCAGTTTTGCCCAATTTTCAGCTTTTTAAAACTTTCCAATATTTTAAGATTAACTGCGGGCAACTTCCAACTGGGTTTTTCCTTACTGTGAAAGAAATGCAATCAGAATTTAGCCGAGATCAAGAAAAGAATGGGAATGAAAAATTGATTATTTTGGCCTAAATTAGGAAAGCAAGAAATATAACTGACATAGATTGTAGCGTAATAGCAATTCCCTAATTTTAAAATAACAAGTACAAATTACACACCAAGGACTTCCTTGATTCCTTGTCTTTCTGAGGGGTTTGTTGGGGCTTCTTGCTGCCATGACCTGAGAAAAATCCATCACAATTACTTGACAGCTCTCTAAGAATTAAATTTATACAAGTAATACACAGATTATGCGCAACAAACCCGTAGTATGAATGCTTTTCGTAGAGCAGCTGGGTCAAGAACTTCCTCATGCTTCTGGTTACACCCTGAATTCAGAGTCAACAAACATTAAACAAATAACTATTTGTTTCAGAACTTGGCATATTTAAGCCAAAGATTTCAGTGACCTTCAGTCCTGGCCTCAACCATAATAAAAGTGCGGCTCCTCAACCCCAAAGTTTTGGCGGAGAAAATGGGTGTTATTTATTTGAAAGTTGGTCTTATTTTCATGAGTTCTCACTAAGTTTTTGAAAGATTTAACCCAAATTTTGGTGAGCTTGAGCTGTAGTTGTAAAAAATCGAGCCGAACTCACATAAAGTAGGATGAGATTTGAATGAAAACAGTAAGTAAAAGCCACAAATTTTGGGGAACTGAAATCTGAAAAAGCTTCTTGGACACTCTCTTTCCCCAAACTTTAAACTTTTTTTTTCCTATGCATTTTTTAGCAACTCTTCCCCCATTGGATTGGGTTCCAAATCTCAACCGGGATGAATATACATGAAAACAAAATAAAATCAATATTAAAACAAAAACAGTATTAACAATTCAAACTGTACAAAAAAAAGGAAGTGATCAGTTTTTTTTCAGTGTTCTGTTCAAACTTCGACAGCCACAAAATGCAAAGTACTGGGAAGCACCGTTGATTCATATGAGAACTCATAAGTAAAATGTGGTGAATAAAACTTTGAATGGGACTGGAGATCAAAGGGTGACAGAAAATTCTTTGAACAATGAAAACCAGAAAGAAAAGACTCAATTTGCCAAAATATTATTATTTTGGGATATAGTTCCGGACAGAGTTATTGATCATTTCCTTAAGGTCTTAAATGTGGTGTTTGCCTAGCATCACACAGACATGCAGCTTCTGTTTCTCCATTTTAGAGAGACAGAGACAGAAATGTCAAAGCCAGTAAAGAAGAAAATATTTGATCCAAAAAGAAGCAAAAGTGAAAAAACATATCATCCCATTGAAAAGAAAAAGAACATATCTTTCAATACATGAGATTAAAGAACAGATAAATGGTCACGTAAGATTAAAAAATCATTCAATCCATCCAAAGCCCTTAAAATCAGATATCAATTCACCGCAAAGCACTAACCCTGAGACCTAGAACCCCAGCAATCAATCTCTCAAACTCTTAAAAAACATACCAACTTGAAGGCAAAACCAGGCATTATCGTCCGGCTGAAATCGATCAGCCATCCGCAAATCGACCCATTTTGGGGCCTGTATCGTCTCATAAATCTCCTCTTCCTCGTAATTCAAAGATAAACCCTCCTTCAAAATCGCCCTCAGCTCCTCCATGGCAAGCCTTCGAGAAGCTCTTGTGAAAGCCTCTAGTTTCTTTTGCGGAAGAAAAAGCCTAGGAGCTGATGGTTATTTTTAGGGTTTTTGACAGTTGGTGGTCTGAATCTGACACTCTACGTCTACTTAGATTTTGAAATGGGGTATTATAGAGAGAGAGTAGCCGTTGGAGCCGCGGCTTCGGACAGTGGAAAGGCGAGTTGTTGGAGTATTTGATTCTTTTTTTAACTGTTTTCTTTTCTGCTTAATTTGACAGAGGAGCTCAGATAAGGAGGGGGTTGTCAATTTGCTAGAAGGAAGGGGGGAATTTGTAATCAGAAGCTGAGAGGGCCCACCCAACGGCTAGGTGTACTATAGCGATAATAGTTGGCACCTTATTAATAAACTAGAGTACAGAAAAGGAAATAATAACCTCTTTGGCATATCTTAAGGGTGGCCACGGTAGGATATGGCCCCAATGGTATTTGGGTCCCAAATTTAGACCCATAATTAGACCCGTCGGGTCTCGTGTTTACCTGTCTGGTTGGATCCTTTGCTACCTTATGATTTTGATTCTTTTTTTTTTTTTTATTACCATTATTTTCCGGACATATACCTTATGATTATGAATTTTTTTTTTTTTTTGCTAATAATATTATAAATATTACTAATATTGTGATAATATGAACACCTAATGCGCATATAAAGACACATGATTGCCATCATATGCCTTATGACTACGGTTATGTGTTAGCTACGGCTAGACCCAGACCCATACCCGAATATTATTCAGGTCCAAAATTTGGACCTATACTTGAACCCAAGGTCGGGTCTAATCAGGTCCATTGCCACCCCTTCATATCTACAAGAGAAATTTGACAAAGAATAGTGTCAAAAAGAAAAAGTTGAAACCTTACAATATCACAAAAATATAATGAGATTATTTATCTTTAGTACAAAGAAGTCACCGTTACTTATAACCAATCTGATAACTTGGGTTTGTTATAAAGTTCGAAAAACTTTCTTTTAAACTGTTAACTTGGTCAAAGTTCTCAATTTTCATTAAATTGACTTATATATTAATAAATACTTCCTCAAAGTCAATTTTAAAAAGTTCCCAATTTACCCTTGTTCGGTATGAGAAAGTTGAACCACAAAGGGTATTTCAATAATTTTACCTTACTGCATTAGAATTAGGTAGCTGATAAAAATTATTTTTTTACCCATATTTATTCCATTTTAAAGACGCGAAACACAATTTCTTTCTTTAAAAATGAAATATTCATATTCCTAATACTAAAACTATTAGGGGCAACCTGATCTTTTGACTCAATCTATGTTGCCCGTGCAAAATGGCATTTTTTGCATTTTTGGCCGTAGATGTTCAGCTTCAGGAAGATGGACTTGAATTTTTTCTTGTAAAACCTTTTATTCTACTTTTCTAAACTAGAACAACAAAGGGAATTTTATAAAATAGCAAAGCGCTTAAAAATGAAGTTATTCATGTTATTTCCAGAAGTACCCTTCATTGTTCAGCTCCAGGAAAGTAGAACAAAGGTCTCACAGGAAAAGGTTCAATTTCGTCCTCCTACAAAAAGTTGATTTTGCACGGGCAACAGAGATTAGGTAAACATACCAGGTTGCCTGTAATATTTCAGTATTAAGAATACATGAGTTGCATTTTTTGAGAAAGAAATTGTCCGTCTCTTATAGCATAAAACTTATATATTTCACGTGGGGGTTAAGGTTGTCTTAATCACAATGTCACGTCTTTACACTATTTTATTTTTAATATTTTTTATATAAATTATTTTGACATCAAATTTTGGACGTCCAATCCTCTATTAAACTCGTACAAGGGAAAAATATAAAAACAATATTTTCAATAAGATAAAATAAAATAACCAAAATACCCCTGAAAGCCTAAAGAGGTATTTTGGTCATTATATTTTATAAAAAATTTATTTTTAATATTTTTTATAGGTGCACCCCAATGAGAATATGGCATGTACCAAATTTCATATTCATACAATTTGTTCAAAAAAAAACTAAAAATAAAATATTTTGAGACGTTGAATCTAAGATCAAACGGTGAGTGGCTCTCTTGATAAAAATTGGACGGATGGATGGTAGGGGAAACATAGAACTTCTATGATGTAGGGGAAGTATAGAAACCTTTCCTATTTCTAAAATGTACAGTTTGTATAGACCGAGGCTCTAAACAATCAAACTAGAGCTCACCTTTAAATAGTGTCAAAAAATGTGATTTCAATGCTAGAAATCTTTTTGATAGCCTTAAAATATATTTTCACCTTTATTTATAAAGTTTAAAGCTTAAAAAATAGTGTAGATCGAGAGATCTATGAAACTTGAAAATCTTGAAAATTGATGGTCCAAAAATGCATTACAAAATACACTATTTTCAAAACTTGAAATCTATTTTTTTCTCATGCCCATGTATCTTGATGTTGAGATGATCAATTTGAGGATATTTGGGCATCAAAACAACATCCTCTAGTGAAATTTTTAAGGTAGGCTCGAATTTGATTGTTTAGACTTTAG